ACACACACACACACACACACACACACACACACACACACACCACCCCCATCTTAGAGGAATGGCTTTGGTCCTGGGCAGAGCTTGGCTAGCAGATGAAGCAGTGCGTCTTGGGCCACAGTGCCTGCTGTGGGGACAGTTGGACCGAGCAAGGCAGAGTCCTGTCTCCAGTTTAGTGATCCTTGGGCTCAGGGACTGCAGAGATGAAGTTGTGTTTCTGTTTTGCAGAACTCTTCCTGTTCTTGCACCGTTTGACTGACGCAGGGCAGGGTCACGGCCTGAGGACTGGCAGGTAAGTGTTGCTGCAGAATCAAGAAGGTGCTTCTCATGGGACCGGAGAGATGGCTCGGTGGTTAAGAGCACGTCCTGCTCTTGTAGATGACCCGAGTTCCATTCCAGTCACCTTCGTGCACACCCGTGTCGGGCGGCTCACAAAACTCCACCTCCAAGGTGACTGGATGCCTCTGGCCTCTGAGAGCACCTGCACTCGAGTGCACATAGTCACGTACAGACACAAAAGTAAAAATAAAATGATTTAACAACCACAACGAAACCCCAAACGTCTCTCTCCCCTGCTGGCGATGTGCTCTGGGGAGCTGGCCAGGAGGCCCCGTGGTCCTTGTCAGTTGTCAGCAGTGCTCCCCAGACTTTTGGGAGCACTCAGTACTCGAACAAGCCTGGTCCTGGTTCAGGCTCCAGTTACAGAAAAGATTCAAAGTACTGTCGGCGGGGGGTGGGGGGTGGGACAGAGAAAAGCCTCGGTGACTAAGAGAGCACATACTTCTCTGGCAGAGGACCTGGGTTTGACTCCCTAGACCCACTTGGCAACTCATAACCAGCTCTAACTCCAGTTCCATGTGATCTGACATCCTCTTCTGGCCTCTGTGGGCATTGCACACAGCTGATGCACAGACATGCATGCAGTCAAAACACCTAACAGTAACAAAACACACATAAACAATAAATATATAAATAAAACAAATCTTTAGGAAGTGTTGGCAAGTTGAACTTTAGGGGTGAGAACCATGCCCAGGGAACCAGTCTGTGCTTAATTCCTTTAGGAATTGAGCATCCCCTCAGCTCTTTTGGTATATGCCTCAATGTTACAGGCAAATGCCAAACAGAGGCTCCTCTGGGTACCCAGGCATGGAGGGAGCCACTAGGTTCTCCTTCCATGGCGATCATGACCTTTTGGAGTACATCTTCTAGGGTTTTCCGTCTTGTAGAAAGAGACACTTACCCTGTCCTTTGTGTTGACTCAGGTTGTACTGTTGGAGGCTTCAGAAATCAGCTCTTCCTAACCCTGTGTTTTTCACATGAACAAAGAGTTTTGGGGAGGGAATGATTTTGACCCAAGGTCATATACCAGGTCAGGAGTACAATCTTGGACAGGACCCAGGACTCCTGCTTCACGGGACAGCTGTCTGTACATAATTTATTCATTCATCAGATGTTTAGGACTGTCAGAGTGAGGGGAGTGGTGGTTGGTGATTCATCTGCTCATTTAGGGAAATGGCTGGTAGGGGGGAGGCAAAGGAAACTGATATATAAATGGAGTGAGAAATCACTAGATAGGTTCATTCTAGAAAAGGGCCATCTCCCAGCCTGGGCTACCAAGTGAGTTCCAGGAAAGGCACAAAGCTACATAGAGAAACCCTGTCTCGAAAAACCAAAAAAAAAAAAAAAAAAGAAAGAAAGAAAAAAGAAAAGAAAAGGGCCATCTTAGACTCATCCCCAGAGTCTCTAAGACAGGTATCCTCCACAGTTCTCTGCCAGAGTCAATCCTCAGTGACTGGCTGATGGAGGGAGGTGTGCTGGCCCAGCTGCCGGAGTAGAGGCTTTGATGCACTTGTCAGAAGAGGAAGCCAACCCGCTGTTCCTGTGGGGTGGTCTACTGCTTTGCGTTTGGCTCGTAGGAGTCAGTCTGTGGTTTGGAGCTCAGCCTGGTCCACAGATACGGGACAGAGTTCCAGGCAAGTCTCTTAGCTGCAGAAGCCCCTTCTTGCCTGTGGTTCTGTGTCACAGCATCCTTGGACCTCATCCTCTCTTTCGGTCCTCTTCACTGGCCAGCCAGGCCTACTGTAGTAGCTCCTCAGCCTCTACACTCCCCATGGCCCCTCCACACACTGCCAGCTCCACGACCCTCTTTCTTACAGCAAAGCACCAGGTGCTCACCACCCTTGACATTCTGGTACAGATCTGGTCGTGCAGCCTGACTGGCCCTTCCCAACCCCCTCATGACTCTTCAGCTTCTCTCTTAACTTACACCTTGTTCCCCAGACCTGCCATTCTCCTTTTGAAGTCATTTCTTCCTGTCTGAAAAAAGTGCTCATCCTTCAGGACTCAGCCTGAATGACATCTTTATGTGACATAATCTCTGGGAGAGTCACTGGGCAGCCATGGCACAGGTATAGCGCTTACAGCATTGTATGGAGTGGAGGCCTGACTTGATCATTACACTCTCTTCTCCCAGAAACTGGGACCGTTGAAACCCAGAGCAGCCCCAGCATCTGGATGGTCTAGGGCGTTCCGCTGGCTGCTTGTCGTGTGACTGTGAATGAAGATGATACCCCTTTTTTCCGTTTTAGATTCTAAACCCAGGCTTTCCAGGCTCCCAGAAAGCCACCAGACCCCACATGGAACCGAGGTCCCCATCCCCAGCTGCCATATCCTCGGTGGAGAGAAAATTCCATGTTCTTGTGGGTGTCACTGGAAGCGTGGCTGCCCTGAAGCTGCCTCTTCTGGTGTCAAAGCTTTTGGACATTCCTGGGGTGAGTATCCTTTCAAGACGAGCGAGCGCAGTGGCTTCTGGCCTAGGGAGTCAGTGCTCCCGGGCCAAACCACTTCTGCAGTGAACAGGCTGCTCTTTTCCTTAATCCTGGTGTGTAAGCAGGAAGTTGGAAGGCGTCGGTGTGTGCTGGTGTGTGGGGCGCGCAGGAGACAGACTAGTGTACAAGATAAGCAGAAGCTAGATTAAATGATACTGTGTGGGCAGAGCCACCTCCACTTTGACTAGTTTTGTATCTTAGGATTCAGGAACGGAAGTTCAAAGACTGAAATATTGCTAGCTCCAGCAGGTAGATGTCTCCCTTCCCCAGAATCCCTGTGGTCATGTGGCCTCCTGCTGCTCCTGCGTCCCACCTAATGCCCACTGCTTTGGGTTGGCCCCTGCCTGTAACTGCCCTTCTCTTCACCTTTCAAGTCTACACTCTACACCCTCCCTTCCTGTCCCAGCCTGGGTGGTTTTACTCTCCTTTCCAACTCCTAGGACAGAGGACCCTAGGCTGCACTGGGCACCGCCTGGTGAACCCACCACTGGTTCTGTGGGGCAGACAGAGATTCATTTCCCTGCGTCCAGCAGAACCCCTGAGCTGGGGGCCCCCTAGTGGCTGTATCTTGCATGTCCAGCAGAGGGCGCTCCTCTCACACAGATGGCCGTTGTGGGGCCTTCCAGTGGGGGACTGGAAAGACTTGTTTCTTTACTTTCTACTAACTTCGACCCAGAATGTTGCCTCCTCTCTCCAAGTCCCTCCCTCCCACAGGCTGAAATAGGTGAAGAAGATGCCAACCATGCCACAGTCAGGAAAAGGGAGAATCTCATGGGGGCTCTCTGCATCAGGAGCCCAGAGCTCTTGGTAGGAGCTGATTAGCAAGAGCCTGGAGGGCAGGAGGCCTGGAAAGGGGTTCTGAGGCTGTCACCACCCCCTGGGGAGAGAGGGACTCTAATAGTTCCTTTTCCCATAGCCCCAGAGCAAGTGAGTTTCCGGGTCGGAGGATGGGGGTAGGGAGGCCTATCCCAGGAAACAGATGGGCAGCCTCAGAGCACAAGGGATGGGAACTCCACCACTTCCTCCCAGCCCACGCATGTGTGGGGGTGTGAGGAAAGGGCTGCCTGCTGGGTGGTGGCTCCACCCACCCCAGGCTTTTTTAGCCTGGGCCCTTGGGAGAGAGGACAGGCTATGTCTGGAGCAGGCCTTGGCCCGCTCTTTCTCTGGCTGGGGTTGGAGCCCAAGTGAGGCAGCCAGAGGGCACTGAACTGTGGAGGCCTCCCCGTCACTTGACTCTTAAGAGCCTGCCTTTCTTGTTTCAAAGTTGGGATGAGTCCTTCCCACTCCCCAGGTGTGGAGGGAGGGCAGAGGACAGTTTGACAGCAGCTTGGCTCAGAGGTTGGCACATGGAAGCACTTACCAGTGTGTGTTTCCTGTCTGGCACCTCCTCTGCTCTGTGTCACAGCCTTTGGGCCACAAATGGCTTTAGGTATTGAGATGGTTGAGACGCCAACATAGGAAAAGCCCCTGGAACTACATACAGCTCCCTTTCGTACGTGAGGGTCCCCGTGTCCTCATCCTGAAGGCTGGCAGCAGGCTAAAGCTAGCTCTGCCCGTGGGGCTTTGTGAGGTGTTGGTAACCAGGGGTGGCCCCTTCCCTCCCTTCCCGGCACGCCTCTCTCCAGTTTCTTCCCTGGGGGTACTGAGCTTCCCAGTGCCCCTTTATAGTGCAGTCTAGGTCTCTTGAGTAATCACCCTCAGCTCTTTGCTGGGTTGATCATTCATGTGAAGAAGGGTTTCTCCGGTTCTCTTGAGGACAGTCAGCTTGTGAATAGTCACATACGCATCTGGGGGTGGGTTGCAGGTAGCTGGGCCATTCTGCATCCACGCCTGGCATGCCAGCATGTGCAGGTGTCCTGGGAGAGCTGTGCCATCGCCCCAGAGCAGGTCAGAGAGATGTGAGGGCCTGTGCAATGGAGTCAGCAGGGGTAAGTGATGGACTCAGCTGCTGGCCTCACACAAACACTTGAGGGACGTCACCAGCAAAGCCAGGCACCTTTTTTTGAGTCTGAAGAGTAAGACAGCAGGGGGTGGGAGGAGAGAGGATCTGAGCCAGACCTGGTAGCACACACCTGTAGTCCCAGCACTTGGGAGGCAGAGACAGGAGGAACAGGAATTGTCCTCAGCTGCAGGAGACCCTGCCTCAAAAAAATCATAAAGCCTAGAAATGTGGCTCAGCTGGGTGACTACTCGCCTAGCATGCACAGAGTCCTGGAACTGTCCCCAGCACCACCTGAAATCAAGAGTGGTGGTGCAAGCCAGTAAGCCTAGCACAGAGGCAGAAAGATCACAAGTTCAAGATCACCCTTAGCTACATAACCAGTTTGAGGCCAGTCTGGCCTATGTAAGACCCTGCCTCAAAAGAAAGAAAAGGGAAGAGGCATAGAGGTCCTGCTGCCGGGACTCTGAGCGGGTTTACTTGAGGTTTTCTTTCCTCCCTTAGCCTTAGTCATTATCCGTGCAGTGCACAGGAGGCAGGCTTGCAGGTCATCTACCCCAAGGGTCTTTCTGGCTCTGGTATTAGAAGATTCCAGATGTGAAGGCAAAAGGGCTAGGGCCAAAGGCTATCAAGGAGAATGTTTTGCAACTCCATAATTGTTACTGTTGGGCCCAGGTTGCAAGACCCCCAGGACTAGGGCCAAAGGCTATCTAGGAGAACGTTGTGCAACTCCATAATTGTTACTTATGTGGACAGCATTTTCATCCAGCTTCTCAGCTCAACATTTGCACCTGGTGGGCAAGTCTGACCTGACCCGGGAACAGAAGACAGAGACACCACAGTGACTTTCAGGACAGGTGGCAGCGGGCCTGAGAGCCAGAGGGAGGGAGTTGCTAGTCCTTGAGTTGATAGAAAGATAAGTTTCTAGCACGTTCATCAGGACACCCAGGGCTGGAGATGAGGAAGGAGGGCCTTAGGAAGTAGATTCTGCTTTTCTAGTTAGTCTGTCAGTATACAGAACAATTTTAAATGCTCATAGCCTTTATTTCACTCCTAGAATTGTGGTTGCAAAAGTTCACCCATGTACAAGAATACTCATTATAGCATTGTTGATGATTTCAAAACAATTGAAAACAAACCCTGAGTCCAACAGTACAGAGCTATGGTGTACTCACAGTGCAGCCTCTCAGTGGTTTTCTCAAGTGGATTGGAACAATGAAGTGATTCCTTCCTACTAGTGTGGGCCATCCCAAAGATGGGAGGAGCAAATGGGCTATGCCCACCTGTAACCTTAGATGGTTCTATATACCGCCTGCTCCAGGAACAGAAATCGTGCCTCTGTTTCAAAAAGGTAATAACCAGTTAACCTGCAACCCTGCCTTTGTTTCAGAGGATTGCTATGGCTACCTTATTATGTTGTTACGGCCACCTTGCAACCTTATCTTTGTTTCAGGAGGTCGTTAGGACTAACTTGTTATGATAATCTGTTCCTGTAACCCCGCCCCATGTATTTTGCCCACCAAATCCTCCATTGAAAAACCCCTACCTCTGAGTTATAAAAACCTTGTCTGCCTCACATCTAATTCTGACCTCTCAAACCCTGCCTTTGGGGGAGGTAGCCCATGTACACAAATAAAAAACCTTGCTTTAATTAATTGCTTGCTTTAATTAATTTGGCCATGATGATTTGGCTCAGTGGTCCTTCTCCTCACATCTTTCGGATTAACAGTGGCTCAGTGGTTAAGAGTGCAGACTGCTCTTCCAGAGAACCTGAGTTGGTTTCCATGTTGGGTGACTCACGGCTACCTGTAACTACAGCTTCTAGGGGTCAGATCAGACCTCTGTGAATCCCCATTTCTCTCTCTCTCTCTCTCTCTCTCTCTCTCTCTCTCTCTCTCTCT